GTATGCAAACACGCCCTGTAAAACCATGTAGCTGAATCACCAAGTGTATCTCTCTGGTTTATTTTGAAAAGTACAATCTCATTTTAATTATTTAGTACAATACTTTACGTATTCCAATAAATGGCCTATAGCATGTTGTGCAAAAATAATGAAGTGTTGGTAATAGGAAACCTCCTCAGCATCATCTGCTGTTAAATATTTATTAAGACACTGGGGAAGAGTGTCTGTCTTCTGCTGGTATTCATCACAGGAGCACCCAACTGCTTTCCAATAAATTTAATTGACTGTCTCCAAACTGCTAGAGGATATTTCACAGAGTATCTTGTTCCCCCTTGCCAGATGCTGTAGAAATCTTTCTTTTGGGTGTAGAATCAGATGCTGTAGAAATCTTTCTTTTGGGTGTAGAATATTTTCTTTTGGGTGGGGCAGTAGAAAGGAGGAGCCTTGCTGCTGGTATGGAATTCGATTATAGTTTAATCAACTATGAAGACTTCCAGCAGTCACCTGCTGAGATTCCTTGAGTGTTCCTCAGAAGTCTGATCTAGAACTGGAATATAAATGATAAAAAATAGATATGACTTTTCTGTATTTGTTTAGGGTCTGTTATGGAAAAATCAAAGGCTTTAAAAGTCATTGAATATATTCAATGATAAAGAATATATGACAGTCAAGGAAAGCTGGGAAGATGCAAGGATGGAAAAAGATTTATTTCTTTTTCTCTTTATTAACTGAACTTGAAAATTGAAGGATAATTGTTGCTGACAGAAAAACTGCAGAGAAGCTGTCTTCTGTGCAGAACAACTTGCCATTGAAACACAGTGGCACTGGGGAGGGGATGAAGGTCTGAGGAAGGCTCCTGCATTAAATACAGACACTTTAGAGCTGACAGTGAAAATGAATACAGGCAGGTGTTTTAAAACTTGTAGTAAAGGTGAGGTAGGAGGAGGTGATGAATTTGGGCTTAAGGGCAAGACCAGTGTTGCTCATACAAGGGAGAAGTGGGAACAGAAGTGAGGAAAGTGAATCCAAGTGGTCTGCATGCACTCGTGGAAAGCACTTGGCTGAAGGGATGGAGGCACATGCTTATTGATAACTGTGGGGTTTTATGGCTTTGATGTACAATTTTTCCTTTACCTTTTATGCAAATGGTCTTCACAGTAGTTATATGTTCTCAGAGCTTTTAGCAAACAGTTAAAATGGGCATTCATTTGAAAATACTCAATCACACTGAAAATTCCTGTGCTTACAATGCAAAATCTGGGGAATGTTCAACTTTCCAGTTTTTTCTTGATTTTTTTTTTCAAGAAATCCAAGAAGAAAACATGACCACATAGACTTCCTGCCAAAAATGAATAAAAATGGCTGTGCTAATACTCAATATGCAATCAAAAATTAGTGAATATTTCCCTCAGTTTTGAGCTCGGGAGAGAACAGGTATCTCTGTGCCTATGAGATAAGAGGCTTCTCTCAGATGCTCACTCTTGTAGTAATGCCCATATTTTTTCCTGTATTAATCAACATCAGCAGCTTCTATTAAAGGGTAAGATTAGCATGTAATTGATTTGAAGCAGGTGCTTTCTCTATTTTTTTTTTTTCTGAGCAATTCTATATATTGACTTGGCGTTCTTCTGCCGGTCTCTGAGTTTTGATCTCGTCAGCTTTTATGAGTAAGAAGTGGTGGATCTGGTCTGTTGTTGGGAAATTACCCTGTAAAACCAATGTGCTTAGGAGGAGACTTGAGTGTTTTATAAATCACCTCCCCATTTTGGCTTTTGTAACAGAGCTGTGCCCTTCTGCTACTCAAGAAAATGTTTGCCAAAGTCCAGAGCACACTTCTTTATGTTGCACCTGAAAGACTGGCCAGACGCTGTGGACTGAATTGATTTTTTGCCAAGATGTTTGATTTAATGTTTATTTCAAAGTGAAAAAACCCCAATAAAACAACCCACGACCAAAGAGCGTCCATAAAATATGAGGCAGAGTTAATCAACACGCTAACATCTGTCTGTGGTAACAGCTCAGTTTTGATGTGTAAATGTCCCCTTTTGTTTCAAAGGGAACGACTTCGTGCTCCAGAGTCTGTCTTTCAGGGTTAATGCTAGCTGTTTCTCTTTTCTGAGGAGGAAAGGAGATAAAGCCTCACTGCAGCGTCTTATTTTTCAGGGTGGAAATTGCGACAGTGGGTGAGGGAACTGTGGGGATGTGCTGGCTGGCAGCAGAAAGGGGAGCTGGTTCATTGTCCCTTGAGTCCTCAGAAGAGCTGTTTGGGCCTGTAACTTTATAGGGTTTCTGCTCCGCCACCAAACATTCCAGCAGGAGTGTTCCCTACTGACGGCAGCTTGTCTTGACTTCAGCAGATGACGGGCTAGGAGGAAATGGTGGCAGCCCTCTTCGTTCACGGCAGCACTGGACACCTGGAAGAGGAGGCTGTGGGTGCTTCTGTGCTCCCCCGCCGCTGCTGCCAGCTGCCCTGCCCCTGGAGAGATGCTCCGTGTGGGTGTGCTGCTGCCCCGGGTGCGGCAGAGACCCCGCGGCGGCAGCTGGCCGTGCTCCTTGTGATCCTGTGTAGGAAGAGTGTTCTTGGGGTTTTATGGTTCTTTCCTCTTGATCATTTGAGTGCAGCTGTGTTTAATGAGCTGGAAAAGAAGTAGGTCAATAAAGCATGTGTTGGTTGTTAGCAGAATACCGGTTGGACCACGTGTTTGTCTGTAATTGACCATCTAAAGCTTCAAAGCTTAGCACAAAGACAATTTAATAGGGAATTCATACTTAAATAAATTAATATTAAGCAGAAGCAGACAGCTGTCAGGCAGTCTGCCCTGCCAAGGTGAGACTGTGGGTACTTAATGCTCAGACAAATTATGATTTCAAGTCAGATGTATTTTTAAGTCTCTCTTATTGATATGCATTAGAAAAACAGCATACCAAAAATAGCTTAGAACCTGTGTGCTTTAAAAACCAATACAACTGATAGCTATGTGACTAGGCTAAAATTTTAATCAACCTAAACAATTTTAATCAGCATGCTATGAATTTGATGTCAAAGTGGCACTGTCAGTATCTGAGCTTGAATTAATTATAAAATATTTTATTTGGTAAACACCAGTGTTAGAAATAGTATGTTTACTGGGCCTTAATGAAAGAAAAATGGCTGCATCATCACATTACTCCACAACCTGGAGTATGAGTTGGAACTTTTTGATAAATGCTATTTTGGTGGAATAATGTGTTGTGTGTTTTGTGTTTCTTGTGCCAAGAATTAGGTCCAAATTGTCTAGACCAAACTTTTCTGAAGACTTATGAGGCAAAACCTGAAAACAGAGCTGCATTGTTTTACCTAAGCCAGCAACTACACAAAGAGCAGAAACATGCAGAATAATGGCAATCCCAGTAATTTTACCATGATCAAAAATCCAGTGTACAGATGTAGAGAAGAGTTATGTTGCAGACTTTATTCATCATAGGCTTTGAATTATTTCTGTTCTCTGTTTTGTAACAAAAAATGCACCAAAAGCTGATAAGACTAATTACTGTAGGATCTCTTCTGAAATAATTCTTCATCTGCTTTTTGTGTAAAGCTCTCATATTCATGAAGGTGCTTGTTTGCCTAAGAAATGCAGTGGCTGCTTTTTCACAGGGTTGGGCTGGTCAAAAGTGAATAACAGCATTACAATTCCCAGACCGATTTTCTTGCCTTATTCAGTCAGCTGGGAAACGGATTAGGCTCCTCTTTCCTTGGTAGTTTTTTTCCCCCAGTGATTTTTTGAGAGCCAATAGCAAGTTCATTTCCTGCTGTGAAATCAGCTTTATTGAGGTGTGAAGAGCCTGGTTTGTTGATGGCATGTGGGATCTCAACTGCCAGTGAAACTGCTGGGAATTGTCCTCTAATCTTCAAGGCTTAAACATGACTTCTCTATAGCAAATACTCTGTTCTGAATCGGCAGCAGCAGTGTCTTGGTTGCTCCAGGGAGATGTCCTGGTGTTTCAGGCACCCAGTACCACTGCATGGTCTTCCACCAACTTTAAATAACTGAACCTGCAGCATGGAAAATGTATTGCAATTTGGGAAAGTCTTAGTAGGCATTAAAAAAAGTGATCAAAACTGGTCATGGTGCCTTTCATGGTGAGGAGAGAGGCTGAGGTGCTTGGAGTTCCCTGGGGAATCAGCTGTCTGTTGCTAATGAATCTGCATGGAAACCACTGGGAGCATCATCAGAGACAAAGAGGTGCCGCGGGATTTGCCAGTGGGTTTTTCAGTGGAGCCCATGGGAGTTAGGCTGCTGTTTACTGTTGAACTGTGATGGCAAATGAGAGCCTGTTACCCTTGAATTCCTTTGAATATCCCAGACCCGGTAGACTTAGCACTGTTTTTGAGGTGTCTGCTTGCATTTTGCATTATGCATGAATGCCAGTGTGGGGATTAAATAGAGCAGCTCTGCCGTTTCAAATAGCTGTGGCCTGAAGCTGATGTGTCAGCTGTCAGTCCAAATGAACTTGGTACCAGTTGTTATAAGTACATGTAAAACCAAAACCTAACTATTTATTATTTCAGAAGGTTAGTGCTCTTGTGACTCTTCAACATATTTGTTGCTAGAAGTGGCATAAATCGCTTTTCATTTAATGTAGTTTGGTTATTTAAAGAGGGTCAATGTGACAGATCTCAGAAAGTCACAGCAAGGTAATTGTGTGCAAAATCCATGTGGTGTGTTGCTTTCCTTTCCTTTTTCCTTTTCCTGACCTCAGAGCTAACCCAGGTTTGAGGAGGAGTTTGAATGTCAGGCCTTCTGAGATCCATTCCAACTTGAATTATCCTGTGATACTGTGAAACCAGGGTCAGAGCTGAAGGAGGAGCTCTAAGGGCTTTCTGTTTAAAACACAGGGACTTGAGAGGTTTTTTTGCCTGGAGTGTTTCTTAGTTCCTTGGTTCTCCTGTCCTTCCCATAATCTTCACTGTGGGCATTCTAGCCTTAACATCAAGAGCTCTGATCCTGGGGGAGAGAGAGAGAGGAGGGGTGAAGGGGGTGAAGGAGAAAATCTGTGGCATTTATTTGATGTGGAAGTGCTAACACCCTATGACAACAGACAGGAGGTGAGAATCAGTGTGACTAATGAGTTGTTTACTTGGCTTTTGTATCCTCCCCCTCCCCCAGGTACATGGGCTGTGTTTGTTTTTATATGTATTGATTTCAGATTCCTGCAAATACCATTCCTTTGTCCTTCACCTTGTCAGCAGTTTGTGAGATACTACTAATCCTGTATTAGTGCTGTGGAAATGGGAGGGAAGTTAGGATGCAGAATGCTACATTTTTTTTCTCTTTTCCTGTTAAACCGCACCATGTTTTTAGGCAGGAGCTGTCATTTCTCAGAGCTTGGACCCAGACCCTGTTTGGAAAACTGAGGTCTCCTTATAAACTCCCTCGAGAATTGATCCCACATATACAGGCCTGCCATCCACTGTTGTTGTTACATTGAGGTGGTCCTAAAAAAGTATGGAAAGAATAGAGTGTCTCTCTGCAGTTTCCTGATGCTTGTCCTCATGGTACCAGACTTAAACTCAAGGAAAGTGGGGAAAAAATTGAATTTGATTTTAGTATTGAATTTGACAGTGCCTGTGTGAATGAGACAATTTGTGATGGGATCCAGAATTTGTTAGAAACAGCCTCTAACTCCTTTTTTCAAAAACTGGTGGGGAAGACTCCTGGGAATGCCTGGGGTTTCTTTATTTAGTGAAGTGGTCTTAGCTGAGATGAAAAGGAGTAAAAGCTGTGCTTTAGGAGTATTTGCTACTGAGGTGTGGCACAGGCTGCGAGTCCCCAAAAGGATGAAGTACTGTCACAGGTTACCTAATATTCGGTCACCAGCCTCAAGCACACCCTTTTTGCCTCGGGTGTTTGACCAGCCCAACTTTGAAAAAGTGGGTTTCTCTGGTCTGTTGTTCACTTTTAGCTAGAGTATCCATGATGCAGCTGCAGATCTGGCTTGTTCTTAAGGAAAGAGTTACCTGGAATATTGTAGGAGAAATATATTTTATGTAAGTGAGAAACAGGTAAAGGGGGTTTCAGCTTGCACATAAATTCTGAGGTCCAGGGTACAGAGAGATGCTGACAGCTCTTGGCTGATGCAAAAGTGGGAGGGAGCAGAAAGCTGTGTCAGAGTAGACTGTGGAAGGATCTGAGCTACAGCTCAGTTTTGTTAAAGCTTTGGAAATAGTCAGGGAGTATTTGCTGCATTTATCTAGCTATGAAAAAAACCAGTATAAATGAGCAAGTGGATGGCTATGACCAGGTACAGTTTTTTTGTTTGTCCTCTCTGCGAGGGTGTGGGAGCAAGGCAGCAAGCAGAGCCCAGCCCGGGCAGGAGGGGTGTGGGCAGGGGCCATACCCAGCTTTCTCCAGGTGCTGGTGATGTATCCACATCTCTGCTGCTCTGGTGGGCGCGCTGTTGAGCCAAACACAGCCCAACAGAGAGAGCATCTATCCCTAACTTGGAGGGGACCAGAAAAAAGGATAAGTAAATGCTGAATTTAAATAAAGGGTGTGTCACAGAACTCGTTTTATGGCTGATGTTGACGCGTGAATTACAATCACATTGAAGGAAGCTCATAAAAGACGGGTACTTACATGACTCTTGGTCCATAGCAAATTCTGACTTTGCCTCAGTGCAGCAGAGAATGGGCCTGGAGAAGGACTGGGGAGCTCCCATGGGTGCCCCAGGTGCCAGGGGAACATGGGAGAGGTTCTTGGATGTCACTTGCTGGTAGCAACCCCTTTGCCTTGCTGTCTGCACAAATAATCAGTTTGTTTTCCTTTTTTTATTTTTATTGAGCATCCTCAGCTCTTAGAGTCCTTTAGCAGACAGCAGCTGATGTTTATAAGTCTGGTTTCAGAAGTTTCCTCCTTGTTTTGGGAGAGCATTTCAAGAGGATGATTTCTCCCACCTTTCTCCTGCTTGGTGACAGGGGCAACTCAGTTTCCCCATGCTGTGCCAGAGATCTTAGGGGAAGCTTCTTGGCTGCTGTCACTGTTCCAAGAACATTACAAGAACTTAGTTACAAGAACTAAGGCTGACTGGCAGTTCAGTCCACTTTCCCCACTCTCCCTTCACCTGAAACTCTTGTTACCATTTCTAGCACTTCTTCCACACTTCACATGCATCTGCTCTCAGAGCACATCACGCTTCTGCCTGTGATACCAGCTGGTCTCCTGACTCAGCTGCTTCCACCATGGCGCTGGGCAGAGAGACAGCAGCCACTCTCCCCAGTGGCAGGCTGATTGTGCTGGCCTTGGGGACACATTGTGCTTTTATTAGGCAGAGTCTGTGTTGAGTGCCACCTGAAGTGTATCCAAAACCAGCCCCTTCCCTCATCAGTTCAATTAAGCACAGCCTTTCCAGCCTGAAGCCACTCGCCACCCCAGCAGCAGATGTGCTCTTACCTCCTGGGTGCTCTCCTGCTGTTCAGGTTTTCCAGATGCAATGTATTTAGGGAAAAAAAAATTAAAAAGCAGCTAAACTAGTGATAAATCATTTATTTTGATGGTGACAGGATCTGATTTGTTTTTCCAGAATGCTGACAGTTTCTGCTGCTCAGCTCTGCTGCTTATAGTTATAACGGTTAATGAGAAATGGTTTGGAAACAGCTACTGTTTTAATTGGTGAAGCAATTACTGTTTAGTTTTGCTGGTGGAAAATAACTGCATGTAAGGCATTTCTCTTTCTTTTCTGTGTATTTTCAAATTTGTAATTAGGCTTCTCAAATTATGTACTTAATGAACTTTGGAAACAGATCTTTCAAATTCGTGTTTACTCACTGGTATTCTTATGCGCATAACTTGGGGAATGTGAATAGACTCACAGGACTTAAAAGGAATATTAATGTAGGTAAAATTACCCCAAAATATAAGTGTTTAGAAGTTGAGGAACTTCTGCTAGTAGGGCTCTTTTTAATAAATAAACAAACCAAACGTATCCAGTTTTCATAAAGACAGACAGACATATTTTTGCTTTCTTCTGCCGGCTGCAAATTGCAATATTTTTCTAATACGACCATCAAAAAAAAAAATGCAAACATCACCTTCAAAAAATCAGGATGGTTTGACTAAATTAGTGAGTCAGGTTCTGCTGTGTTCCATATTGCAAATAACTCACTCTTGATTTTCATCAAAACTGAAACTTAATCCAGTATAAAACAGTAAAAGAAAGAAAGACAATTGAAGACTAATTTTTGTAACATCCTTTGTCATCCGACTATGACTAAGCTCGTTTATAAATACCTTGCTCCTGCCATTGACCCTGCAGTCTTGGCAGCAGGTATAAGATGCATGTGGCTTATGCTGGGAGCTGCAGCCCCAAAGCCTGTTTGCTCCCTGCAGCTGTGTGAATATCAAAGAGGAGAAGATGCTGAGGGCAGAGGCTGTGAGATGATGTGTTTCCACATGCCCATTGCATAATCATCCCACACTGCTCCACAGACCCCATGCCAGGGAGCAGCCAGAAAGCCTAGGCTTTTCAGAGTGCCAGCAGGCTTGTTTTGCCTTGAACTCCTGCCCCAGTGAACAAGACTGATGAAAGTCACATATATTTGGGGAATGCCAAATGTGGGCAGGGGTAATTATGAAATGCCACCAGTTAAATGGCATGGTGTGTAAAAACCCAGATAGATCTTTCATAATGGATTTCTACTGCACATACATGTGAGTAGTAGGAGCCAGAGCAAGCATGAAATGTCTCTTCAGCTCTGCATGAATGATCAAGGCTCAACCCCAGTTCTGAGTTTTGTGTGCTTCTGGCATTACCATGATGTACAAGGGGTTCCAAGCTCCCTTTTTTTCTTCAGAGTCCTTTTTTTTTGAGAAGAAAGAATGAAAAATTAAGCCTCTGGATATAATAGAAGAGTTGGTTAGGCTGAGATGGCAGCATATCTATTACAGATATTTTTCATCACTACACATAAAAATACACATTCTTTGTCATGCAGCTGGTTTTTATGGTAAAGTTGCTTTGAAGAAATACAGATGTAGAATGTAGTGAGATGCAGTTCCTGAGAAACCAAAGTGCTACAGAATGCTGACTAGGAATAAAACCAACTGTAGTCCTATTGATTTTTTTTTTAAGCTATACATAGATTATCGTAGAAGTCTTCATTGTGCAAGTACCTAATTCTCTGTATTTGTGGGAGAAAATTGGAAAGATAACAGGATCCACGTGAAATAATGTTCTGGTGTTTGGATGCAAGTCTTTCTCTCCACATCACACATCTATTCTATCAAGGCAGAATAGAATAGAGTAGGTAGTTCGTGCAAATAAACTTGGTAGAAAAAGCTCAATGCAAGTTCCAGCCATGTAGACTTTTAACTTTGCTCACTTAATTATTTTGCATCCGTAAAAGGAAGGCTTACAAATAAAATTCTGTGTAATGATGAAAATGGTATTAATGCTACAACTGTATTATTACTAACAAAGGTACTGATTATATGCTCTGCGCTTCCCTCTGGCTCAATTCTGACTTTGTTTATGTCTTTCCATTATTGTGTGTCTGTTTAGTAAAGCATGGCTACACGTTATTTATTATTATTACTACTATTATTATTATTATTATTATCATTATTATTATTAATTTCACTAACTTTGGGTAAGGTACCTCTCACCAGGCTGCAGTATAATTTGTTCTAGAGTAATATTTTCCTTTCTAGACAGATGCAGCAAACTAGAAAACGGTGCTAATGAAAAAGTCAGACTTTGCTTTTTTTGATGTCATGGGCATGGCAGAAAATGCATAGTCACGTGTCCTTCTCTTGTGTGTTACAGATCTGAATGCATCACAGACCCAGAGTCTCCAGACAAGTGTTCCAAACCAGGGATCCATCCAGTCACCACAGGCAGATGAACTGCTCCTGAACCACCAGCCTGGGAGCCTGCAGGATGCAGAAAGTGGAGCCAGAGTAGAGGAAAAGATTGTTTACCTCTGATGACTTGTTTTCTAATCTCAGTAGCACTTTGGAAAGATAACTGTGTTTGCTTTTCTAAATTTCTGTAGTCGTTCTCTGTATGACCATCTGGCTTTAAGGGTAGTATTTAATAGTAAATGCAAAATTTTCCCCATGATAAATATAGCAAGTAAGTTATTTTGAAGCCTTTGTGGTGTAATCTTTAATTTATGACACGACTTCAAATGCATTGCAAGAAGCAATGAGTAGCAGGGGAGACATAACATTTTGAAATTGTAAAGATGCCACAAAGGACTGTGAAAGCTAGTGTTCATTTTATCGAGTAATTTTTTTATAAAGATGAGTTAAGAGAGACGGGTCTGCTACTTGAGATTTCAGACTGTGTATCAGTAACCTTCTAACAATTGTGATGTAACATGAAAAGACAGCAATGTAAGAGTGATGGCTCTAGTCTTCGCTGAAATGTGCTATATACCCTTAGCTGTTGGGTCATTTTCCTTATCTTCTAGCTCAGGAACTGCTCAGAAGGGGATGTTTATTACAGTCTGAGCATAACTGCATATTTGTGAGTGTTTTTTCATGTCCTGAAGCCTATTGTCATTTTGATACTACTGCCAGTTTCTGTGCAGAGATGCACTAAATCAGTTATTATAACTGTTCCTCATTTCAGTAAGTGTCCTTACACATTAAAATTTACCAGATGAAACCATCTCACTGGTCAAAAGAAAAGAAAGGGGATAAATAGTAGGCTTCCGTTAACTGAACTCTTTTGAAACTCCACTGCTTTCCTGTGTAGAAGTCAGATAGCTTTCTGCTTCCAGATTCATGGGATTTCCTGTGTGTTAGGAAGTATGAAACCTGTTATGTGCCTTTTTGTGTCTTTTTGTCTTTCTGAAAAATTTGTACATTTCTGTCACACTGAATAAATCTTCTGTGCTTTTCTGCTAAGATTTAACTTTGATTCATTGTGAGATCCCTCAAAGAAATAAGAAAACGGGAGGGAAAAACAAAAAAGGTGTCCAGGGCTTGTTTGCACTGAGCTCTGCTGCAGATGTGTGTTCCTGGTCCAGGGTAGCCAAAGCTGTGTATTTCAGCTGGCAAAACCAAGGATGTTTGCCACTTAGCATGGCTGATGGCATTGGCAGAGGTGCAGCAGGAATGCAGCTGCACAGCTCCTGAATCTGGGCTGCCTCACATCTGCCCAGCTCAAGGAGCAGAGGAGGGCAGGATTTGTCTGGGTAAGCCCCAGGTGCCAGTGGTTTCCATTTTTGCCCTAAGCCTTGTGCTGTGCAACATCTTTTGCAAGGCACAGAGTTTTAGACGTGTGCATTTGTTGGCAAGGGTTTCCTGACTGAGAAGGATTCTCTCCCGGGGACTGGGGTGCTATGGGGAGTTCTGTAAAGCAGAGCTTTCTGAGCTGCATCTTACTGGACTCCAGAGTCGTTGTTCAGTTGGTATCTTGGGAAAACAGCTGAGCACCTGGCGTGATGAGCAGGATGTGATTCTCACCTGTATTAACTGATGTACAAATGCCATCAGGCAAAGGCTGAGCCTGCAGATGTGGTTTCCAGTGTCTATGTCCAGCCTTCAAGACTCCTGCTAACCTGACAGCACTTTAAAAATATGTCTCTTTATAAGAGGGAAAAAAACCCCTCTTTTAGAATTTCTAGAATTGTTTTACCTTCTTTGCTTTTCACAATTAGATTAAAATTGAAATGTGGATCCAACTTCTCTTAAGCACCCTGTAAGTAAGTAAGGATAAGAGAGCCAACAATGAATTCAGGGTTGCCACCTGAACAGTGTTTTGGCAAGTTTCTAAGTAGCCAGACAAATTTCTTGGGATGGTGTATGTCCCAGGATATGTGCCTTGCCCAGAGACCCATGGGAAATTGGGGAAAAATGAGCCGTTTTCTCCACAGTTACTCCCTCTGCATTTCATTATGCCCTGGCTGAAACATCTGGTATTGGTTACTGTCAAATCCAAGCTGCTGGATGGATAGCTGCTGTCCCAGTTTGGTGTGGGAATTCCCACGTAAGCGTCTTGCCACCGGGAGAGGAAGAGAGAATACTGCTTCTCTCATCAGTTTTAATTGAGGGGCTGGGAGCTGAAAAGCGGCTGGCCCAGACTTCAGCTGCTGTGCAAATTCTTTTAAGTCCCTTAAAAACAGGCAGCATCTTATTTTGCTCACCTGTGTTTACAGTAAAACTTCTGGCATTTCAGAAAGGCAAAGGCAGGAAACAGGTGGCCTCTAGATTTAGGTATTTTAATTGTAGAAAATGTTTAAAGTATAGGCCAGTATGGTCTCGGCAGGTGCTCTTTATAACAAGATGTATTATGCACCCCTGTACTCTGTCCATTATTTAGGCATTTCTTAATACTTAGTGGAATTTAAACACAGCCCCAGTGAGACTTGGCTATTTTGGCAGTCTGTGTTTTCAGTTATTGCCAGGCATATATTAATGCTGTGTCTTCTTTTTTAGTTAGAGAAATACATTCAGAAATTCTCTTCATCTTTTTTGATATTATTTTGAAGCTGGCTTATTTGCAAAGCCTGTTATTTTTCACTCATCCTGTATATTGTGTTTTCTTTTTTGCTAAGCTTCTCAAAGCATCTTGCCTCTGAAAGCTCAGAAGCTAATTTAGTCATTAATTTCAGTGCTGAAATTAAAGGAGAGGTTGCTGTACTACAAATATCCATGGCACCAGGATGAGCTTCCTGTTTGTTTTTTTGTCTTTTAATTTTTTTTCTCCATCTTTTAAGAAAGAAGGGATTTTTTTTGCTGCAATGCCTTGACTTTTCTCCTTAATGTTGTATGCTAGTAAAGTTGCCATATCAAGCAACCTTAAAAGACTTTTAAGGGAAACTTGCAATGACTCTTTCCTTCAACAAGTCTATAATAACAGTAGAGAAGAAATTAATGAAGAGCTTGATCCAGATCCAGTCCTGGATCCAGACCCTTGCATTTGTGCATTCAGTCATTTGTAGAATGAGGCCAAAATGGAGCACATTCTTCACTTGGATGCTGCTTGAGTATTAAGGTAAACAATACAGCTGCATTTCTAAGAGATTTTTCACAAAGGTCACCCATGTTATTTTCAAATTACTAAATTAAATACAGATTAGGCTATCAGGAAAACTCCCCAAAGTTTGTTTGTTGAAATGATTGAAAAAAGGTATGTTAGTGTCCCATGTAAGGAACACAAATAATTTTACTTAGAGAGCTCTGTTAGCTGCATTAATTTATATGCCACCCACTTAGTTCAAAAAAGTCAGTAAGGATTTTTGCTGTGTCTTAATCAAGTAGGTGCCAATTTTGTAATGTGCCATAATGCTGCTAAAAACATTTCTGCAGTGTGATGGTGTTCATTCAAAGAAAAAGAGATTGTGCTGTGGTAAGTAACATGTGCAACTTGCTCAGGCTGAATTGTGAAAGCAATGGAGAGTTGCAGATGAGGCAGTTTTCCTTGTGCATTTGATGACAAAAAGAAGAAATAGTGTGACTGTTTGAATACCTTCTAATGAATATTCTATTTGACAAGAATTCCAACCTCAAATCTTTCCTATTCACTGTGCCCAGTTTATATTACAGAAGTAAAAACAGCACAGGTTGTGGAGCATTAGCATACTGAAACAGGTTGGATAGAATTTTTATGAATGCTTTTATAGAATTGAGGAACTGCAGTTGATTTCTGCCATTTTTCCAAGGCAAATTGACACATTAATTGTTTCTATCCCTAGTAAAGATTTGCATATATAAGCACTGCAGAAATAGCTATGAGTATTCTTGATAATCTTAGTCATAAGGACAGCTACATGTTAACCACCAAAAATATTTTTCTGTCTTGCTCCAAAATAGTGAGATAAGTCTGTGAGGATGGCTTGAATTCAATGGCTTGAATTTTGCATAAAGGCTCCCTTAGGCAGGCCGATACCAAAAAGTGTTTCATTTCTTCAATACAAAGAAAAACCCTCAAAGGATAACCTTTGAGGCATTATTCTGAAGTGAGGCTGGCATTATTCTAAAGTGCTGTCATCAGTCCAGCCGTTCGCTTTGAAAAAGTGCATCGGACAGTAATCTGCTAGACTTAGGCTACACAGATTGTGGAAGAGCTTGCAAGGGTTTTGCAGGTTGTGGAGGTGAAATAATCCAAGTATCTCACCTGGGAACATCAGTGTTTTTCCTTGACATGCAGAGCAGCGTTGGAAGCAGCTCTACTGAGGTTGGTAGTTGGCTCCCAAATTGCCAGAGATGTTTCTTAGTCCATGGATCATCAATGCTGAAGTTTCTTCCTCTTCCCCTCACTCCATCTCAGGCCCACATGTTCCACCTCTTACATGGGAAGGTTCTGCCACAGGGAGGTCTGCAGCCCCCCCAGAATTCTGAGTTTGAGTCTTGAAATATCCTGGGTAGAGACCAGAAGAAGAGAAAAGAAACATGAAAAAGCTGCTCTGGGTGTAGAAAATGCAGGAAGAATGTCCACACTAATTAGATGTTTCTAAGCTCCTTCATGGAAAAAGCTTTTTTATCCAGAGAAAAAAGGGTCTATTTATCACTGTTTACTATTTATGATATTATTATTTATGACTAATAATTTGAGAGCAGTTAGATGCCACATTTTTTAATTCCAGTACCAGAGAGAGCAAGTAAATGTATGAAAGGGACAATGAAGCAAGTAAGCAGGTAAGTTCAAACAAAAAATTTATCCTGTGGAGGCTCAGCAGACCTAAGGGAAATTTCTTATCAGATTTCTGTAAAATTTCCAAGCCATACTACAAGAGCTATGCAGGCATGAACCTTCCACTCACCCAGGTTACCACTGCTAATAACAAAGACTGTTGCAATTAAAGAACTGCATGAACTGAAGACAGATTGTGAAGATCAATGTGAGCCCTGGCCTTCCCATGCAAGTGAAAAAGCAGGATAGCTGCATTCCTTATGTCCAGCTCATTGAAGATGCTCACAGCCAAGCTGTGAACCCATTTGTGCTCCCTTTGAATGGTGCAAGAAACAAAAGAAATTGGTGTTGCTTCTGGTTAAAGTAATGTCTCATCTGAAATGAAAACTGTCCCCATTTCCTTCACTCACACAGCTGTTCTGTTATTGCTGAATGAATGCTAAAACAAGCCATTATAGGTCAATTCCAGATACAAAGCAGCCAAGTGGACAAAGGTAACTGAGCATCTCCTGCTTTCAGGAGTGGAGGGTAGCTATCCTTATCCTCTGGGGTTTCTTTCTAGCTTTAAATTAAGGAGCAAGTTTTCACAGTGAAAAATTGTCAGTGAAAAGGAACACATTAAGAGTGAAATTGCTTCTCTGCTGATGTTGCTTTCCTTCACAAAGTCCCACATGACCGGTTTCGGTCTGATTTTAACCTCATGTCCAGACACCAAGTAAACTGACAAGGTGGCATGTACATATTTTAATTCTTTAAATTGTCTCAAGTGCCTGATACTTGTGTAGTATCAAAACAGCTTATATCTGAGTCCAGGCTGGACAGTGGCAATGCTGCAGGTAAAGGAAGAACTTGGAGGATACAAAGCTAAGGTGTGACCGCCTTTGAAGCACATATCAAATGAATGATTTACTCAGATTTGGCAGTGCTCCATAGAGGTCTCATGAACAGAAAAAACTGTCATGGAGCTGTATCTTTGAGTAAGATTCCTTTCCTTCTTCCAGGTGGCTTGAAAATGCTATTTTACCACGGCAATAATGTCCTTGCCTCAGCTGACTTCATTTGATATTGAGACTACAGCCGTGCAAAATGCCTGGTCTGCAAATCATGAGCCTGTAGGAAACCCTATTTCTGTGGAAGATGTCTTAAGTACGTAGGTCATACTACCTTCCAGCTGATGCCAAGGCTTTCTGTAGGAAGATTTATCACAATAATTTTCCTTAAAGTTCTCAGTAAACATCTACACCTCCAGACTAGAGGGTTTGGTTGGTATTT